ATTTATTGTTTGAAAGTTAATGCATGTACCTATGCGCTTGAGGATAATGAATAAGTTTTTTTATGTAAAAAAAAAAGTAACTTCATAATTACATTTAGTTATATGAATTTATTGTTCGCAATCAATTTTTCTAATCTCCAATTTCTAGATTAAGTAAGAAGAAACATTATCGACACAACGTTTCAACAAAGACTGGAAATACTGACTCTATCATAGCTTTCGACAATTTGGTAAAAAACAAAGCTTTCTTTTTTTTTTTTTTGGTCTATTTTGTTTATGCTCAACTCTTTGTTAATTTGGATGTTAACCATAGTATTTTTCCAATGTCTTTATTTGGCCAGTCTAAATGAAATTGATTTGCTATTAATGTATCCGTTTTGGAAATCTTAACTTCTTAAAGGGCAAAAATTCGTGATTTGTGACTTAGGTTGTAGATCTATTTGAAAGTCAAGTTGGCCGTTCTTCACCTACAAGTTAATATGGGGTTTTTGTTTGACTATAGATTAATTAGATAATATAGTGAGATAATTACTGCAAACATTGCTTTTTGGTAGAATTAATGCAATCATTTTATAGGTGAATATGTATGAAGGTGCTAAAAAGGTTACTTTAGACTTAAAAAATAAATTAAAGTTTTTTCTGTGAACAAAAGGTAAATTAAATTTATTGGAACAAACAGGGTACAATAGGAAAGATATTGAGGAAATATTATTTGGAATGGTAAACAGACAAATAAATGAAACGGGAATTGTTTCTTCAACATGGTTACAACATCAGCAAAAAAAACACTTCTAAAATTTTCAAAATTTTGTTAGGATCTTATTCTCCAGTCATAGTTGTCAAATTTTTTTCTGTAAAATTGTATGAGGCAATTCCTATTAGTGTCAATCTTAAATTGAGATTTCTTAAAATATACAGACAAAATATATACTATTTTTCCACATAAAAGAAGGTTCTTATGAAATAGAGTGAGACTTTACGGTGTATACTCCCAAGTCAAGCACGCCATGTACCTACAAATAAGAGATGGAAAGATATAATGCATATCGCTGATCCAAATTTGCATATTGTGGATACTGACAAACCTATGTTTTACATGTATTTTCATATCTTTTTAGTGGTATTATTGGTCCTTAATTGTATTATTTGAGTATAATTCATATTAGAGTGCTTTACCTTGAACAAGTGCATAATAGGGGCAAATTTGTCATAATTGTGATTAATTGATCTTTAAGGACAATTTATGCTACCTTATTCTTGAATTTCGATTGCAAGTTTTTGGAAGATTTAAAAATAAAAATAAAAAATATATATATAATAAAAAATAAATTTAAAAAAATAATAAAAAAAAGGAGCAAAAAGCAACAGTAATTCATCATCTTCTGGATTGAGCGGGAAGGGGACTAGTGACGGTAACAGGGAGAACAAGCAGAGGAGGCGACAGAGAGTGAGGACCAGCGACGGCGTGAGAATGAAGGACTGAAGTCACCAATCTCCGTCTCCTCTGAGTCTTCATCTTCCATCGACAGTATGACCTTCACCTTCTTCTCCGCGTCTTCTTCTTGGTGGCAGAGAAGAGTGACAGAGACGAGAGGAGCAGCGGTGATCGAGCAGATTGAGGAGAGAGAAAGGACCAGGGGATCGCGATAGAGGAGACCAGAGGAAGCTCAACGAAACCATCCATGATCTTCCATATCCACTCAAATTCATTACCACCATTGATTTCGCCTTCTTCTTCTTCTCAGCATGATAGAACCAGAGACCAAAAAATAGAGAGCTTGAACGGCAAAATCGCACCTCCGATTTCATCTTCCATTGGTCCAGTTCCATCCACCATTGTCATCATCTTCGGTTACTGTTTCTGGTTCCAGGGAGACAGTGTTCGACGATTCCTCACTGTTCTATCATCTCGGCATTCCTCCATGGTAGCCCGTAGCGGAATGTTGATTGTGGCATTCCTTATGGCAAACCGTGGCTAAATTTCATGATCCTAGAGAGCAGTGGCGATGGCTTGAACTTAGAGCTTCAAAAGGGAGTTTCAACTTTTTCAATTTTCATTCCTCTCATTGTATCAATGATTCTTGGATCTTAGGAAGAAATTTTTAATGTTTGGATGTGCTGTAATGGTTTTATCTTTATATGCTGAAAATTGGATATTACTTATGAGTCTTCGAATTGCATTTTGACTTTGGGCTGTTAGCATCTTTAACTCCAATTGCATTTTCTGGTGGCAGTTAACGTATTGAGATTATTGAGAATATTTAGTGGTAATTCAAGGTAGGTTGGTTATCGGATTATGAGTTTGAATGTATTTCTTTGACTCTCTTTAGCTATTTGTGCTAAAACAGTTTAATTGTGAGTAATTAATATACAAGGTAGCTTGGTGTTGATTATTCTAATTAAACCGAGTTTAAGGGGTATCTCTTAGAGTCTTTTGAATTTAGCTAACTCCCAAATTAATTAAAATAATGGTAGCCTAAATCATTGTGCTAGAGCATTGCTATTCTATTTGTTATCACTTGTTAATTCTCTTTGTTTGTTTCATTCATATTCATTTTATAAACTAAAAAATCCAAAAATTACTTACTCATTTTGCATCTTTTTAAATTTTGCCATTTAGCTAGTTGAAAAGAAAATCAATCCCTTTCCAAGTCAGTTCTTTATCTTTTACATCCTTAGTTACTTAGGATCTTTTAGAGGCTCACTAAAATGAATACGACTTGGATCATGCACTGTACTGCATTAATTCGGTTAATTTTTGAAGTGGAATTAAAGCAACTAACGGTTTATTCTTCATATACCTAGTTACATATGGTATCTTCTTACATATCATGGATCCTGATTGAATATAATCGATTCAAAGTTGCATATTGGAGATTCTGATTGCATATGTGGATACCTGGTTTCATATAAGACCTTTGTTCGCACCGCAAGTACACGGGTCTTCACAAGTAATAAAGTGATAAGTAGAGTATCGTTCACACGAGAATTTGGTTTTAAAACTCGATCAAGTATTAATTATCACACTTTCGCTTAATTTGAGTAATACAAATATAAATATCAAGAGTGAAAGTAACTATTTATAAAATTAAAAATTAATAAAAAACAAAAAAGTGATTCTTCAATTCCAATGACTCAAAAGGACCTAGGATTATTTATCCCTCTTATATTTCAAAATTACTCAATTAAATCCCCATTGTATTTGCTTCTTAATTATAGATTATGCTAGCCAAGGACACTAAATTACCTATAACTGCTCTCTCAAGTCTCCAAATAGGTGTTTAGCTCAATTAATTCCTTAATCTCTTAATTAATTAATTAAGCCCCAATTTTAATTGCAAACCTTATATGACTATATGAAGTTAATGAGTACATCTCTATCTCATTAACAAAACCATCCATCCAACTCGCGAATTTCAAGTTCTCACACGATTAAACTCAAGTTCTACACTCAACCTAACCCTCTCAAGCATCAATCAAATGAACCCAACAATCTCATTGGTGGCCAATCAACAAGAAGCATTAAGTATAGAGTAAAATCAACACAATCATATAATTAATCACAAATATAAAGGGGAAATGAGTACTTAATCCATACAAGAGTTCAAAATAATCCTAGAATCAAAGTATTTACCCACACATACACAGAAAATCCATGAGAATATATATACACATCAGCACAAAATGGAATAAGAGTAGAGAAAGCAAGATGGAGAGGAAAAACCTTTTAACTACGTTTAATCAATTAGCGGGGGAGTATTATTTATACTGAATTTTTTTGGGTAACATTAAAATTTGAGACGGATTTTTTTCATACATAAATTCGAGACATGGATAGCAGAGTATATAGTAGTATTTCTTTTTTGCCATCATAGATAGCATAGTATATATTTGTTAGGGGAGCTGTTATATCGTTTTCGAACAAAAATCATTCAACACGCATGTATGAAAAGAACTCGTCGAACCTCAATACTTAACTTTCAAATCATTAAAATAATTTCTAATAAATTAACTAAATCAGGAAATGGTCTTATTATAATATTAAATACATAAAATTAAGTTTGCAGAAAACAGTAGTCTTTTGTACACCATTGCGGATCTTATTAGAATATGTAATGGTTTATATATATATATATATATAATGATGTATTCTTTTATTCCATACATGTTATATATAAAACACATTAACTATTGTATCTCCGTTTTTCTCTAGTAGCTTTTTTTTTTTATGAGAATGTTATTCATCCATCACTTTTTTTGTCCAGGTTTTGTACCCAAAGGCATAGGCAGTCTTGATAAACTTAATAGCTTAGACTTATCCAGTAATTATTTCAAAGGGCCTATTCCTTCCAACTTATTCAACATTTCAACATTAAAAACTTTAGGCCTTGGTCGCAACTCCCTCTCTGGCCTTCTCCCATCATATTTAGGAAATGGCCTTCTCAATTTGGAGAAGTTATGGTTGGATGAGAATGAACTAACTGGACAAATCCCAAATAGCATATCAAATGCTTCTAAGCTCACTTTGTTAGACTTGTCATCGAATAAACTTACCAAAGTTATGCCCAATGTAATTGGAAATTTAACAAGCTTGATTTACTTAGCTTTGGATGGGAATGAGTTGATTGGCTTGACTCCATATACATTTGGCAAATTACAGAGCCTTCAACTTTTAAGCTGAGCAACAAAAATTACAAGGTTCCATTACAAATGATTTTTGCCAACTCAAAAGCCTAAGTGAGTTGAATCTTGCCAACAACATGTTTTCAGGAGCAATTCCAGGATGTCTTGGGAATATTTCTTTACGAAAGTTGAATTTTAGCTCTAACAAATTTTCTTCTCAGATACCCTCTTCTCTTTGGAGTCTCAAAGATATATTGGTTTTAGATATATCCTCCAATGCATTGAGTGGAATAATTTCACCAGATATATCAAACTTGAGAGCAATTATACAATTGAGTTTGTCAAGAAACCAAATTTCAGGAAGCATCCCTACAACTATGGGTGGGTTGCAAACTTTGCAAAACCTATCCTTGGCTCACAACAAATTACAAGGGTCTATACCTGAATCACTAAGTGGCATGATAAGTATTGAGTCAATAGATTTTTCCCATAATTACTTGTCTGGTGTGATTCCAAAGTCCTTAGAGTCATTGCACTATCTTAAATCTATTAATCTTTCCTACAATTTATTGGAAGGAGAAATTCCAAGTGGTGGTCCTTTTCAAAATTTTACTGCTCAATCTTTTATGATGAATAAAGATCTTTGTGGAGAACCTCAACTACAAATAAAACCATGTAGGAGAGGAAACAATCACAAATCAAATAAAGTGATGCTAGTTGTAAAATGCTCAGTGCCAATCATGGTTGTCATTTTGGTTGTTACATGCATTGTCTTTCTAAAGCATGATAGAGACAATGCTAATTATGCAACCAAAAGGAATTTAACAAATTTCGATGGACCAACTAGGATATCCTATCATGAGCTTTTACAGGGAACAAATGGATTTGATGAGAGGAATCTTCTTGGCTTTGGAAGTTTTGGATCAGTATACAAAGCAATTCTTCCAAATGAAAAGATAGTTGCTGTTAAAGTGTTTAACATAGACATGGAACAAGCATTGAGAAGTTTTGATATTGAATGTGCTGCTATGTGCAATTTATGCCACCGTAATCTCAGTAAGATCATTAGTAGTTGCTCAAATGATGATTTCAAGTCTCTAATTATGGAATTCATGCCAAATGGAAGTCTTGATAGATGGTTGTACTCTCATAACTACTGTTTAGATATCTTGCAGAGGTTGAATATAATGGTTGATGTGGCAGCTGCATTAGAGTATCCTCATCATAGTACTTCTACTCCGATTGTTCATTGTGACATAAAACCAAGCAATGTTTTGTTGGATGAAGAAATGGTGGCTCATCTTAGTGATTTTGGTATAGCTAAACTATTAGGTGAAGGACAGTTGGAAACTTATACAAAAACATTAGCTACAGTTGGCTATATGGCACCAGGTAATAGTTTAATAATAATATTTGAGTTCAATTATGTTGGTTTTTTGTTATTCTATACAAAATTTTATATTATTCAATTATTGATATGTAAACATATTTTCCATTCCTATATGCAAAGATTAAGTTTATAGCAAACCTCATATTCTCTTTTGACATATAGAGTATGGCTCAAAAGGAGTAGTTTCTTTCAAAGGAGATGTGTATAGCTATGGCATCATGCTAATGGAGATGTTTGCAAGGAAGAAGCCAACTGATAAAATGTTTGTTGAAGGTCTTGATTTGAAAGATTGGGTTAGCAAATCAATACCGTATTCAATCATCGATATTCTTGATGTCAATTTGCTGCATGAAGGGAATCCAAATATTAGCAATATATTACCACATATATCATCAATTTTTGAGTTAGCATTAAGTTGTTGCACTGAATCACCAGAAGCACGAATTACGATGACTGATGTTGGGGTCAGATTGAAAAAGATAAGGTCACATTTGCATACAATGTTAGAGATGCACCACTAGTTTAATAATCTTTGTATGAAGGATTTATTTACTGTTTCTTTTATCCTTTGCTCTATTTTTGTCTATGAAACATGTAGTATGTTAAAATGGCAATGATTTAGATGTTTGTTATATTATTATGTGAAGTCTCTACATTTTTTATGTTTTGATTTATTTTCCTTTTTCTTATATTTTGTTCATTACAACTGTATTTAGCTATTTGAATTGTATTTAATCTTTTTTTTTCTCTTGAAGAAAAATGATTATTCTTTTTGGCAACACCTATATACCAATTATGTTGTTGTTCTGTCTTCTTAAATTTGTTCTATGTATCTAACATTAATGCATGATTCTTTTTCCTTCTAAAATTCTTATATCCCTCATAAAAGGTTCAAACTCACAATTTTACATTTTAAAAGGTTTTGAAGAAGGTGTTTAGTACCACAAGACCCAACTATTTGCGTTTTATTTCATGAAAAGAAAATAAAAAATCACAAGCATACAATTGTTTTTGGCCAACCCCAAACAATACAACTGAAAATTGAACACCTCAATGACCTAAAATCAACCAATCATGTCCTTACAACTGAAAATTGTTCAGCCTTTCCCGAAAAATAGGAAATCATTCCCCCTCCCCTCCTTTTTTTTTGTCGGAGGAAATCATGTATTTCCCTCCGTCCCTTAAACAACCACCACTTGTCCCTATTTATTAAAAACGTTCGCATAATGTCTCAAACTTTATTGGCTAATTTTTTGTCTTGCCCCTATTAATTAATTTAATACTTAATGTATTTATTTTCTCATTTTTAAAGTATCATTCATTCATATCTCTCCATCGCACATTCTCTTATTTTCATAGTTGTTTTTAATAATTTTCTTATTCTCTCTCTTATCCTTTCTCTTAGCATCCAAATGGTAGCAGTTGGGGTTAAAATGAGAGCTCATAATCTGCCAAATCATTATACTATTAAAAATAAATTTTAATTATAGTGTAAATTTTTTTTTACCAACTTTGAATTTTTTTTAAAGATTTTTTTAGCATGGAATATCTAATCTTTTTTGCACCTATCTCATTTCAAATAGAAGATTTATTTGAGGTCAAGACTAATTCATACAACCATGATGGATGAAACTCCACCACCAAATATTTATAATATACAATTTTCTGGACCTATCTAATTTGAAAAAGAAGATTTATCAAATTCCAATCTAATATATATGTTGACAGACAGGACCATAAAAAATTGCAAAGTTATATCAAGTCTTTTAATGTTTTTTAATTTCTTATAGGATAATGTGCTTAAATATCCCGGAAGTATTCACAAAGGAGCACCCAATATTTCAAACTTTTTTTTTTGCTCTTATATATCCTAGAAGTTTTACTTCGTAGTATTTTTGCCCTGAACTGCTATATTGTTAAGTTTGATTGTTAAAGATACTGGTTGAGCTGCATAATTTAACCGTCTAGCTTAGCGACAAATAAAGGCCATGGTATTTTTGTTATGAAAATAAATTTTCAAGATATATAAGAGCCAAAAAAATCCTTTCAGGTGCTAGGTACTTCTTTATAGATATTTTCAAAGTATCTAAGCACCTTATCCCATTTTTAATTAAAGTACTTGATGGTAGAGCTTTGCTCTCTTTGTGGTCTTATCTGTCTCAATTCATATCAGCCCAATAAATTCTACAGTCAAATGATTATGTGAAAAAATTAGGTGTTCCAGTCTAAACAAATTAGAAAAAAGTAGCTAGAAGCTACTCAGTAATTTTATAGTATTAGTCAAATTTATTTTTTATTTTTTATTTTTTTAGTGACAAGATTTATTTCTTATTTTTAATAACATGATGATGTAGCATATTATCAGCTTTTAGATTAATTTGGATAGACCACATTGGAATGTGAAGAGAGTGGGGCTGCTGAGGGGATCTATGCACCACAAATAGGGGTAGTTTTGAGGGGGGAAAAGTTACCATTTTTACATATTTGTTGTTTTTAATCAATTTTAATTAAATTTTTATCTACGTAGTTTGGTTAGATATTTCTTATAAAAATGACAAGGGGAGTATAACCTTCACCAAATTTTAAAGGGAAATTTGGTAAAAAAAATCCTATTTGACAATTTAATTGGCTAAAAGAATCTAAATTTGAGCGAGTACAACAATGATCCGTAAGTGTAACATATCTTCTGCTATGTACAAATGACTTTCGTATTGATGATTAGTGTCACTAATGATATGTTGCACATAGCGGAAGATATGTTTTGTCACATCCTAAATTTTGGACCTAGAAGTACTAAAATAAGCCTGAAATGGGAAGGCTATCAGATCCCTTTTGGCAGAGGTCCCAGAGATTCCCTAGAAAGACAGTAGGATTTCAAGGGACTAAATCACAAAGAAAAAGTTTTTCAAGATTGATAAAAGAGGAAGTTTGAGACTAAGAAGAAGTCTCGGGACCCAGGAATGAGAAATAGAGATAAATGTAGGCCAAAGGTTATATTGGAGGCCCCAAGGAGGTGAATTTTGAGGTTAAGCCAAATCAAGGGCAAAATCATAATTTTGCAAAGTTTTGGGCTGGTAAGGACAAAAATGAAAATTATGTCCGAAAATCCCAGAAAATGAGAAATGGTAGGTTAAAACCTGAACACTTCAGAAAAATTTCAAAAAAATAGGAATAAGATTCAGAGGCCTGCATGAGGCTAAAAATGATGAAAATGCCCTTGGAAGGAATTTGTGGAATTCCCAGATTTTTGACTGATTTGGAATATTTGTAAAATAAATTATTTAAAGTACAGGAAGGTCTCATATAATTGGAAGAAAATGGGAAGAATACTTGAGGAATTATCACAGGTTTTAAAAATAATTCCGTCCCCAGAAAGCGAAAAGGTTGGCTTTAATGGAATTGAAAGCCTATTTACATACTATCCAGAAAAACTCAAAGTCAAATGTCTAGAGGTTGACTTTCGACTTAAGAAAAATTAAAGGAATTCCCTATGATGAATGAATAGTATTGGTACCCAGAGATAGATTCTTGGAGTTGTCGACCAGAAGAAAGAATTCGATCAAGATCACTCCGAAATAAATATTATTAATTATTTAATTATTTTAATGGAAGAACGAGGGAAGAGCATCACTCTCTCTTTGGGCATGTTATATAATGCCATGTGAATTTATTTGAGGTGAGAAAATAGTGCCATAACATGTCTCAGTGGTCTCAAGAAAGTCAAGATCCCAAAAAGTACCCTATACGGTGTAAAATGACAAGATAGGCGGAGGAATGCCTAAGAGTTGTATTTTGCACGAATTTTATATTAATTTCCTCCCTATTTTAATGCCTTAATGATGAAGGACTATGGTGGAGACAAGTGTACAGTTAGATGGGAAAAGAAAGTATTCGTATACAGCTGGATGCAAGACACGTGTACGGTCAGATGCAAGACACGTGTACAGTTAGATTAAAAGCATGTGGATTGATGATGCAAGCACAATGTCATCATGATGAGGTAAGTATGATGTCATAGGATACTTGTCACTAGAAGATTAAAAAAAGAAAATGGACAATCGGGATCAAGTGAAACTTCCTTCCTTTAACCTTTCAGAGTATGTGTTTGGAAGCGTTACGGTTCAAGCGATTCATGAAACAAGCCCGTAGATTGAAAATTTGCAACTGGTTCTCGGGTACTGTTCACTAGTGAAATTCTAGATTTTTAGTTCAACTTTGAAAAATCATAAATAATTCTATAAAAATCATATTGAGGTGTTCCAAAATTCTACTCGAAGCTCTTTCAATTATCTATAGGAGAAAAATATCAAACCGGAATTTTCTCAAGCCAATTCATACAGTTTAATCCATGAAAGTCACTATTCATTTGGTAAATTCTAGAACTTCTAGTTTTCATGGCTCAACTTTGGAAATTCGTATCTCTTAATATACACATCCAATTGAGGTAATATACCTATCATTTTAAATCTTGGGATGTGTATAATATATCTGCTAAGTTTCATGGCTTAACTCATACGTTTGATAGGTCAAACTAGAGCTAGAAGCTAACTGCTTTAGGACCTATGTTTTATCCCTTAACCAAATCTTACTTTAATTCTTTTTATTGTTCTGGCATGCATAACTTAGCCTTATTCTTTCCCATTCATTCTTATACATTCCCAATCATGCCATAAATGTTCTAAACCAATACATCACATTATTGGCATTCTTCTACATAATTTACACAATAGGAGAATCATACATTAACCAATAGCTTCATTCATTAACATGAATAATTCTCCACTTTCTTCTCATGTTCTCCTTCATACAATCATTATCCATTATACTTGACCTAAACGGTTTGTTAGGGAGGGGTGAGATTTGGAAGAATCTCAGTAGCAAATAATAACAACCCAAACATACATGGCAAGCTTGGCATTCATAACATGCTTGCAACTTAATATTTTTATAACATAATAACATGTTTGGAAATCATCATGTATTTATCATAAAAAACATAGGCCTATGGCATATTTCAAACACATTCACAATCACAACACATGTGTTCACAAAATCATATAACATAAAAACATGTCATACATGCAAGCAAATACCAAGCACATAAGAGTAAGGTCATGTTTGCTACCTTGTATCTTTAAACGTTCTCTTGTTCTTCAACTTGCTCCCTAAGCTTCCCAACCATCTAGCTTTTGGTCAACCACATCCAAACCTTCTCTTGGATGTCTCAAGGTCCTAATCACAGCCACAAGGGTCATACTACTCATTAGGACCAAAAATTACACAATATGGAAAACTTATATCCTTAAACTTAATCCATTTTTCCTTAATTTATAATATAGTGTTCTAGCTTTGTAAAATTGTTCCCTTAGGCCAATTATATACAATTTTACCCAAGGAATCCAAATATGAGCTTAGATTCATCAAAATTTAGCTCCTTCCCCTGATCCTGGGCTAAAACTGAAAT